TTTTCCTCCTTCTCGTCCTCCTCGTCCTCGCAGTCCTCCATCTCCTCCTCCTTCTATTCCTCCTCCTCCTCCTCTTGCTCCTCCTCCTGCTCCTCCTCTTCCTCCTCCTACTCCGAGGACGACGGCTCCTCCTACATCCTCCCCCTCTTGGGGTATGTGGCGGCTCACCCCGCCCTTTGTTCTTCTGCATGCTCCCCCGCTTCCCTCATAACCTCCACTCCCCTGGGACTCATTTCTGGACGGGCTGGTGGGCATACGCGAAGCGTCTAGAATTGTCCTGCTCGCGGGTCCGCACTCTCCACCTACTGTGTTTGTAACGCACGGGATTTCAAAGGTTGCTGTTCTTACGACTCGTTTGTACCATCCAATTGTTTTCGGTGTTTCCCCATGGCGCTCCCACGACAGCGTGGACCTCATTTTCGGATCAGCGTTTCGCTCCCGTCGTTCCCAGGCCTCGCAGGTCTCGCAGGTCTCGCAGGCCCTACGGGTCCAACAGGTCTCGCAGGTCGTCCCACAGGTCCCAGAGGACCCACAGGTACCACAGGTCTGACAAGTTCCACAGGTACCACAGGTGTCCCAGGTCGCGCAGGTCCCACAGGTCCCACAGGTCCCCCAAGGCCCAACAGTCAGTCCCAGATACCCCCATGCGGGGCCACGAATGCCCCAAGCGCCCCACCCGCACCCGCATCCCCAAACCACCTACCAAAACGAACATTCCACGATGTTCTCCAAGTTGGTTCCATAACGCTTGATAGGGCAACTGCATCCAGTGGCTTGGCCAAACACTTGGCCACCATATACATAGGTGTGTTTCACAAGGCAGGGGGCGGCGACAACCCACAGAACGCATCTCCGCTAGCCTCCTCCTCCTCCTCCTCCTCCTCCTCCTCCTCCTCCTCCTCCTCCTCCTCCTCCTCTTCCTCCTCCTCACCCTCCTCCTCCTCCTCCTCCTCTTCCTCCGCCTCCTCCTCCTCCGCCTCCTCCTCTTCCTCCTCCGCCTCCGCTTCCGCCTCCGCCTCCGCCTCCGCCTCCGCCTCCTCCTCCTCCTCCTCCTCCTCCTCCTCCTCCCTCCTCCTCACCCTCCTCCTCCTCCTCCTCCTCCTCCTCCTCCTCCTCCTCCTCCTCCTCCTCACTCCTCCTCCTCCTCCTCCTCCTCCTCCTCTCTCCACTCCTCCCTCCTCCTCCTCCTCCTCCTCCTCCTCCTGCTCCTGCGCCTCCTCCTCCTCCTGTCCTCCGCTCCTCCCCGCCTCGCCTCCGCCTCCGCCCCCGCCTCCGCATCCGCTCCTCCTCCTCTCCACCTCCGCCTCTGCATCGCCCTCCGCCTCCGCCTCAGCCTCAACCTCCGCCTCCCCTCCGCCTCCGCCTTCGCATCCGCCTCCTCCTCCGCTTCCGCTTCCACCTCCGCCTCCGCCTGCGCCTCCGCCTGCGCCTCCGCCGCCGCTCCGACTGCGCCTCCGCCTGCCTTTCGTTACCGCCTCCTCCTCCTCCTCCTCCTCCTCCCCTCCTCATCTCCCTCCTCATCTTCCTCCTCCTCTCCTCCTCCTCCTCCATCATCCTATCAGTCATCATCACTCATCCTCCTATGCCTCTTCCTTCCTATTCCTCTTCTTTCCTCTTCCTCCTCCTCTCCTCCTCTCCTTTTCCTCCTCATCCTCCTTCTCCTCCTTCCTCCTCCTCGTCCTCCTCACCCTCATCCTCGTCCTCCTCCTCCTCCGCCTCTCCTCCTTCCTCCTCCTCCTCCCGCCTCCTCATCCGCCTCCGCCTCCCTCCTCCTCCTCCTCGTCCTCCTCCTCCTCCTGCTCATCCTCCTCTTCCTCCTCCTCCTCCTCATCTTCCTCCTCCCCCTCCTCCCTCCTGAGTATCCTCCTCATCAACACCACCACCACCATCACAAGCATCCTCACCACCACCACCACCATCACCACCACCACCACCACCGTCATCATCATCCTGATCACCACCACCACCACAACCACCATCAATATCATCAGCATCATCATCATCAGCATCATCATCATCATCATCATCATCATCATCATCATCATCATCATCATCATCATCATCATCATCATCATCTCATCATCATCATCATCATCATCATCATCATCATCATCATCATCATCATCATCATCATCATCATCATCATCATCATCATCATCATCATCACATCATCATCAACATCATCATCATCAGCATCATCATCATCATCATCATCATCATCGTCGTCATCATCATCATCATCAATCAGCATTCAGCAATCACCATCATCATCATCAGCAGCAGCAGCATCAGCAGCATCATCAGCATCATCATCTTCATCATCATCATCATCATCATCATCACCAGCCATCATCCTCAGCATCATCATCATCAGCAGCAGCCCATCATCATCGCATCGTCACTCTCATCATCATCATCATCATCATCATCATCATCATCCTCATCATCATCATCATCATCATCATCATCATCATCATCATCATCATCATCATCATCATCATCATCATCATCATCATCATCATCATCATCATCGTCATCATCATCAGCATCATCATCATCATCAGCATCATCATCATCAGCATCATCATCAACATCATCATAGTCATCATCAGCATCCCCATCACCGTTACCATCACCAGCATCATCATCAGCATCAGCATCATAATCAGTATCATCATCAGCATCATCATCAACAGCAGAAGCAGCATCCTGATTATCATAGTCAGTATCAGCGTCATCATCATCGGCATCATCGTCATCATCATCAGCATAGTCATCAGCATCATCATCATAATCAGAATCAGCATCGTCATCATCAACAGCAGCATCAGCTTCAGCATCGTAAGCATAATCAGCATCATCAGCATCGTCATCAGCTTCATCAGCATCCTCATCATCATCAGCATCATCATCAGCATCGCCATCGTCATCGTCATCAGCATCAGCATCATCAGCATCAGCACCCGCATCAGCATCGTCATCATCATCATCGCCATCATCATCAGCAGCAACATCAGCATCAGCATCATCATCAGCAGCATCAGCATAATCAGCGTCGTCATCGTCGTCATCAACATCATCAGCAGCAGCATCATCATCAGCATCATCATCCTGATCAGCAGCAGCATCATCATCATCAACAGCATCATCAGAATCATCATCATCTGCATCATCAGCAGCATCCTCATCAGCATCATCATCAGCACCATCAGCATCTTCATCAGCATCATCAGCATCATCATCATCATTATCAGCATCATTAACAGCAGCATCATTATCATCCGCATCATCATCAGCATAATCAGCGGCAGCATCATCATAATCGTAATCAGCATCATCAGCATCAGCACCACATCCTCATCATCATCAACAACGGCAACAGCATCACCACCACCACCATCAGCAGCAGCAGCATCTTGCTCGTCCTCCTCCTACTCTCTCCGTCCCGTTTCCTTATGAATAACTTCTCCCTGTTGCACCCCCGGGCCAGCTTTCAGGGCGGGCTGGGCGTTGCGCCTGAGACTTCCTCACCACGCATGGCCCAGCAGTTTAGAATTTGGCACCAGCTTCACAGATGAAGGGCGTGTCGTTTTCAAAGTGTGGCTCTCGCTTGAGCGCGGCGCACATTCGTTGTAAACAATTGAAAGAGTTTCACTGCTGAGGGTGGGACGCTTCCAGAGTGTGGCTCTCGCCTCAGCGCGGCGCACATTCGATCTTAGAAAGATTGCAAGAAATGCACGGTTGGAGGGCGGGTCGTTTCAAAATGTGGCTCCCGCCTTCGCGCGGCGCACATTCGCTTTAAAAAGCTTGAAGGGCTTCACGGCTTGAAGGCAGTTAGTTCCTTTCCAAAATACGGCTCGCGCTTTAGCGCCGCGCACATTCGTTCACATAACTTACAAAAGTTTCACGGGTTCCCATCATCAACGTGCCAGAACTGGTGTTTTGAAAGGACTCCGGATTATGCAGGTGCAACAGTTTCGTTGATTCGCTGCTTTGAAGATTTAGGACCGTCAAGACGCAACGAGGCAGCTCCCTCAATGGAAATGAACCGTTGTAGGGGCATATGAAAAGGGAGCTTCGAGGGAGGGTGAATTCCAACATCGTTGATGACCCTTGGGTGATCACTGGTCCTCCTCCTCCGTCTCCGTCTCTTCCTCCACCTCCTCCTCTTCCTCCTCTTCCTTCTCCTCCTCATCCTCCTTTTCTTGATCCTGCTCCTCCTCCTCCTCCTCCTCATCCTCCTCATCCTCCTCGTCCTCCTCCTACCCCTCCTCCTCCTCCGTCTCATCCACGTCTCCCTTCCCTCTTCCTCCTCCTCCTCTTTTCTCCCCCCCCGACATAAAAGAAACTATAGATGGAACACCGTGCCGCCCCCTCGTCTGTGGCAACTCATGGGAGACTCCCACACCATCATGCTGGCTCCTGCGAATCGACATCCATCGACGATCCATCGACGCTGGTCGACGCTAGTGGACGACAAGTCGGCAGTATCCCATCGACTACCCGATGCTGTTCGAAGCGAACGCACCCTGATGGCAGAATTACGAAGGTATATCGGGTCGGGCGAAAGGGGGGGATAGCAAAGGGGGGGTTGAGAATCAGCTCACGTAGCTGATTTTCCCGGCGCCTCCCAGCGCCGAGGCGGCCATGCATCGAGGAATGGGCCCCTCGGTGAGGCCGAAACCAGCTGCATGCAGCAAATTTAACCCCCCCTTCCCAATCCCCCCTTTCGCCCGACCCGCTATTGTCGAGGGCACCAACGCGCACGGAGGAGGAGGAGGTGGAGGAGGAGGGAGAGGGGAGAGGCAGGAGGAGGAGGAGGAGGAGGAGGAGGAGGAGGAGGAGGAGGAGGAGTATATGAGGCCTCCATTGATCTGCTATCGAACCCTTCTGAACACCTCCAACACCAGGATGGCCATGCAACCGACTGTGGCACCGCGCAGACAAAAGGGCGTCGCGAGAGGAGGGCGGCGGAGGTCGGCGGCCGCGGGCAAAAGGTC